CACTCGCCGTGAGCACTGGCAATACCATACAGTTCAGTCCACGCATGAACAATTCTCCTGGCATACCAATCCACATAATGGCGTCATCAGATAGATTTAGAGGCTGCAAGATATATAATCAGTGTGTGTGTGTGTGTGGGGGGGGGGGCTATTATAATCAAATTCATACATACCAATATGCATTCACTTATATTGTTCCTTTCATCTGTTGTACTATAGGGTGGCAACATTTGTTTGCCTTGTGATGTTGAGACATAGAATCATTAGACTTCCATTATAAGGAGTATTGGTTGAGAATTTTAATACCTTTTACCTTTAAATATTGTTAATTGTTCATGAAACGTCGTACCCACAACCAGTAAAGAATATAATGACTTTTATATGAACAAACACACTTAAATTTAATAGGATTTTATTTATTTTTTAAATCAAAGACAGAAATTCTTAGTTATCTGCACATTCTAACGATAAAATATATTTTACGAAAGTGATTGGCAATTTATTTTCAAAATTGTGTTTATTGTATACAACCCACGGAACATTAAATTCTCTCTGTGATTCTGGAACCGACTTGATAGTTTCGTGCGCACATGTCATTATGTGATTTGACATTAAAACTCTGTTTACAATTGTAACTTATTACATCATAATACATACCATAATGTAATAAACGATAAAACAGTCTCAAACTAGAACCCGTTGTTTTCAAGATCACACACTCCGTCCCTACTCAAATTACTTGATTAACAAATTTAGACAAGAAATACGCAGTATTGTTGAGCGTGTCACCAAATATGCTCGGCGTTGCCAGCGTAATAAAGACAAGAAACCGACAAGTGCCTTAAAATATATTGCATGTAGTTGTAAAGTATGTTCTCGTGTTGCTGGGACGGGTGTCATGTCAGTCGGTACTGGATTTGAGTGGACCCTCCACATATCACAAGCATAACCGGTTCAATTAGGTCAGATTTACTAAATACAGAACACGTCATTCTGCGATATGGCAGCTTTATTTGTGAGTTTTATAATTACCATGTTATAACTGAAAATACTTACCTGAAGTATAGGAACAAGAATGAAACCGACAATCACACCAACCAATGTCAGTATCAGAAGAAGATTATCTAATATCCATTTCTTACAACATGTCCCAGAACATTCTATAGTTGCCATGGCGATTGGTTATTTCAGTATATAAAACTGTAAGTTATCATAGAGTATGGGTTATTATATTTGCATTATAAATCAGAATGATTCTGTTATCATTAGTAGTGATCTGATTTATTGGCGGAGTCGTTATTTGTTATAATTCATGCCACTCGACCTTGAAACCATTAATTTTAAATGTCAGACGGTAATAAATGCAATTCATTATTCAATTAGAGTCTTATTTTCAGTACAAATACCAGACTGAAAATGTAATTTCTTTGTTGGTCTAAAGATCGCGGACTTTGTGGTTTAATATAACATGAGTACATCAAATGTAATGTTATTAGCTTTTCAAAACTAGTGTCACTGCAGTTAACTGCCATTGTGTCATGTAATGAAGAATACAGGTGTTACTAAAAGTGAGTGATGAATAAAGTGTAGACACTAGCGGATTTATCCTCCGTTTAGTGTTATCTATCTAAAATTAATATATATTTCAGTGTACTGTGTATGTGAAGCAATTATCGTGTAAGAATTCGTATTGAGGGGGAAGGGTTAACCCGGATAGAGGTCATAGTTCATCTCACGTCATGGTGATTCCTATGTTATAAATCTGAATGCTCAAGAATTTGGAAATGTCTTTCAGAAGAAAACATGTAAAAACTCTGTGATCAGAAGCCTTCTTCTCCAATTCATGAAAAGTAGAATTACCGACATACCTTGCACGAAGACCTCCGTCTACTAAAATGTTCAATAAATTCAAATTGGTCACTGAATGTTGTTGTTTACATTCATTTGTGTAAACAACAGCGCCGGCAAGTACATACTGGGTAAATTACAGAAGTACATGTATATAAAAATAGATGTCAAAAAGATAACAATTCCCGTTAAAATGTTTGTAATTTCACAATGATTCGCATCCCCATACCTTGTGATAGTGCCTACACTTTTGACCAGCGTTCTGTTTTAGTT